GGTTCAGTGACGGCTAGGTATATCTTCTCTGTCTAATCCGTTGTGGCCGGGGGTTGCATGGGCGTGAGAGGATCGGCGGAGAACTTGACCAGCGTCTGGGGATTATTGAAGTATGATATATGTATTCAATGTCATCGTCAGATACTATCAACTAGGGGCTATATCTACTTATGCATAAAGTGTGCTTATTTAAATATTGACTTTTATATGTTACTGAGACGACAGGAATACGCACTCGCAAAGTTAACAAGAGCGACCTTACCAGTGTAACTGTATGTTGAGGCATATCGAACAACTTGAATGGTAAGATAAGTTATCACTGGGGTGTTAAGAGAAGGCCTGAAGAATTAAGGGGGCTCGGTGATCCGCCTGGAGAATTAAGGGGGCTAGGTGATCCGCCTGGAGATAGGGGGCTAGGTGATCCGCCTGGAGAATTAAGGGAGCTAGGTGATCCGCCTGGAGAATTAAGGGGGCTAGGTGATCCGCCTGGAGAATTAAGGGGGCTAGGTGAACCCCCTGGAGAAGGAAGGGCGTTTATGCTTGACAAAATCCAGAGGGGGCAAGGTATCAAGCAGGAGTCATACCTCCCGCGAAAAACAGGATTTGAACCCGCGACGTCTGGCATGGCGGACCAGTTGCTTCACGCCTTTGAAATCGTGCCTGGCTACGGAGAACGGCCAGAAGACGTAAGGAGGGAGGACGTGTGAGCGGGTAGGGAGAAGAGACGGGGTCTGTGCGCAAGGGGGGGGGAGGGGGGGGGAGGGGGAAGAAGGGGCTGGTTATATTTTTTCGACCCATCTTTGGACTCCTCAGTACCTTCTCCTCCACGTGTGTGATCGCTCTCAATGTGAACGGAGACTATAAGCAGAGCAGGATTCCCCCTTCGTGTCTGTGAGTGCCGGTCTCTCTCCCTCTCTCCTTTTCCGAGAATTATACATTTCAAGCTGAAGCTCTGAACCGTGTTTACGCCTCTCCATCTTTCTTCGTCTCTTTTTCTCTGTTTCTCTCTTGATTCTTCTCCGCCCGCTCCCCTCCCTCCCTCCCCTCCCCTCCTCTTCTCTCTCCGAGTCTGTGGCTGGCTGGTTGTCCAGGTTGTGTGAACCTGGGTTCTCTTCAAAAGTATGCTATGCTCTTTTGCCAGCAGATGACTTGTGCAAGAGACAAGAGACGAGTTTAACCTTTTGTGTGCGTTAGGACTTTTGTGAACAGGCTGCCAACCTTCCGACAGTATGGACTCCATTTGACTTCAGGACCTGAGGCAGGGTGCGGGGTGCTTCGTGGCTGCTGCATTGCCACTCATACGTGCGCACATACTGGGCAGTTTTATGAAGAGAGGAAGGACACGCAGCCACACAAACAAGCGCCAGGAAAACTCGAGCTCACAGGCACACACACAGACACAGAGAGAGAGAGAGAGAGAGAGAGAGAGAGAGAGAGAGAGAGAGAGAGAGAGAGANAGAGAGAGAGAGAGAGAGAGAGAGAGAGAGAGAGAGAGAGAGAGAGAGAGAGAGAGAGAGAGAGAGAGAAGGCCGTTTTGGGGAGGAGTGCTTTGATGATGAATCAGTTGGAAGGGGTATAACCGAGCGGACCACGTGCACGAAGGTGTAGGTGGACTTGTAGGCTGTTCATATTATATAACCGGGCCCGATTATTACCGATTTGTAGACAACCTTCCTACTTTTGTGTTTTTTTCTGGAGATTTTATATTGAAACCGGCATTTGATTTCGCTGAGGGTGTCCTAATCCCAATCAGACGGTTAGGTTTTCTCTCGGTGAGTTTTCCGTCCTCCCTGATTCCAATCTCTACTTACGGACCCATCTAATGGATCCGATCGGCTAAAGGAACATCATTTTTGGTTTTACTACATTTGAATCGATTTTCAGCATTTCTTTTTTAATCGGCTATGTAATTCTACTATTGTTTTCTCATTTTTTGAAATTTCCTGAGAGTCCATGCACTAAGATCCAGACGTCAAACAGCAGAACCTTCCGCGCTTTTCGCTAAGGTAATATCGTATCGTGTGGTGAACCGTACACTGACTGACTCTCAGTAGGCCTGTGCATTTTAACTTCTTCCTTCTCCTCCTGTTCGCTCATCCACTCCGTGCTCTCAGCCATTCTTTCTGTGTATCTTTTCCTGCCTTGTGGTTTTAGTAGTTGGATCTCTCTCTCTCTCTCTCTCTCTCTCTCTCTCTCTCTCTTTCTGTTTCTCGCGGCTTACCAGTCGAAGCATTACTCTGCTAGGTAAACTGTAGTAGTTGATCCGACCGGTCCTCGGTTTCGCGGTGGTCGTACAACCCCTTCTCCCAGGAGAGCTCTTGATCGGATACTGACTGTTATAGATCTCGCTGTACTTGTTGTCCCTGTTTTCTGTCCTCCCTCTCTCCTCAATCCCTTTCTTTCTCTTCTTCTCCTCATCGATCTGTCTGACCCTTATCTCACCCTTTCCAAAATCACGGCTGCATTCGTCTTGTGCGAATTAAGCGCACTATTGTGCGCACACTCGTACTCTCCCATCTCTCTCCTCTCTCTGTCTCTCTCCCTCTCCTCGGCGTGGCTGCAAATAATCCGGTCTCTGCAATCTGTTTTCGTCAGCGCTCTTCTCCTTGTCCTTCTTCTTCTTCTTCGTCGTCGTCGTCTTGTTCTCGGCTATTTTAAGTCGTCGGCGATTAAGCTTAACAGATTCAGTCGATTATAGGTTTTGAGCAACTCCCTGTGAGGTCGACCGCTCTGATTTCAATTCTCTCGTTCTCTCTCTCTCTCTCTGTGCTCACTTTCTCTCTCTTCTTTTCTCCGTTTCTCTTCTCTTATTCTGTCGTTCTCATTCTCTTTTTCTCTGTTTCTCTTTCTGTCTCTTTTTCTACATCTGATCTCAGATTCACCATAGATTCACCTGTGCTTGTTGCGCTTAAGTAACTGGCTCAGTCTACTCTCCGCACTGTTTCAATTATCCCTCTCGTTCTTGAAAAAGAAACGGATTAGTGAAACCCCCCCTCCGTGGAATAATCGCCGTCATCGTCTCCTTGACGCTGCTGGAATCCGGATTACATTTAACTCTTATTTTATTTATAAATTTTAATCTCATTTCATTGTATCGTACCTACCTGAGCTCATTTTTTAACCCTATTTTGATCGGATTGTATTCCCCCCCCCCCCCCCCCCCGCCAAATCTGTCCATCTGATTTTATCGGACTTGATCCCTACCTGATCCCTTTCTACTGTTTAAGATTATCTCATCTTTTTTCCCTTGAATCTGTTTCAGTTCTTTTTTTTAATCTACTGATTACTCTGTTTTTTTCAACCCCAATTTGTCCTCCTGGTCTTCCTCAGAATCATCTACGACGATTTTCTTTTTTTCCGTCTGACTCTTCCTCCCCCCCMCCCCCCCCCGCCCCACTGTTTTCCGATTCTGCAAAAATTAACATACATATTCCAAATCAGGCGATGAAATAAGAAGAAGCGAGTTTTGGTGAAATACTTGTTGATAACCCAAAGGCAGGAGGACATTACCGACTGTAAAGGCTGTACTAAATTTCCGGTCAGAGAAATTATTCTCTGCCCTCCTGCTTCTTTCGTTTTTTTTTTTTTTCCCGTTCTTTGTTAATTTGAAGAAGTCATCTACTCTCTCGCTGTCCCCCCCGCCCAACTCACGACCTCCCGCCTTAACAGGCAGAACCAGATCGATCCGAATTTCAAAACGCGACCTGGGACCAGAGGTGCAATCAGTTAAACTTAAAACTTTACGGGGGTCTAACATTTACTTGGTGTCGATCAAAATCATTCAATGGTCAAATCTTCTTCCCGATCCAATCGTAGTCAATCAACATCGTCATCATTTTCATTGCTCATCTTAAGTTCTATCCACTCATCATCATCATCATCATCATCATCGTCATCGTCATGAGCATTCACTAATTTCAGCTCATCATTCCAATGGTCATGATATCATTCAAGCCTATTCTATCTCTATCATCATCATCATCATCATCATCATCATCTTGACTGAAGACTAATTTGCTCGCAGCTTTGTCCTGGTTCTTTCAAGCGAATCCGCAGGTAACTGCGCGAGTGTGCTCCCTCTCCCTCTCCCTCTCTAGCTCACTCCGTCGTCCAGCGAATCTAATCAAATTATGTATCAGGTCGTTTTCAATAATAGTAATCCAATGATTCCAATGGTAGCCTTATTTTTTTTTGGAGCAGACATTACCGAGGGGTGAAAACATCATACGTCTTTTAATAATCCCTGATCGACTATAGGACTGACTGTTCATGCCATCGTCCTTTCTGTTTTTTCCCTATAGTTCTACTGTCTTAATGTTATCATGTCGTGTCCGGAAATGCTCTCCTGCTCATTTCTTTCCACATTTTAGACTTTTTTTTTTGTTTTTTTTTTTGTGTTTTCCTTCAATCCTAGTCTTACGAAATCCACAGACCATCCCGATTTTATGAGCATCTTCCCGCTCTCTGATCCTACCGCTTTTGTAGCTAGAGAGTTCTCTAGTCCTTCCTGCCATTCATTGCCCATCAAACAGGATAAATTGAGTTGATCTGTCCCTGCTGTCTATATGTCCCTTCATTTCCCGTTCGTTTTCTTCGTCGTGATTTCCCCTCTCCTTCCTCTTTCGCTCTCAATCGCCACGTGACGAATCCCGGCGCCCGGCAAAAGCCACGTGTCCGTGCGCCTTGCAGTTGTTTGTTACTCGCTGCTTTCCCCCTTAAACACTGCTTTCTTCCCCCTCTTTGCCACGTGTTTGTCGACACAAGTTGGTATCATTTAACTGCTCTCTTCTATTCCTCCCCCCTTCCCCCCCCCCCCCCCCTTCCTTGCGTTCACTCCTCTTTTGCCATTTACCACCCCAAACAGAAATACTCTCTCGATTCATCTATTCATCTATATATTCAGGTGTCCACCTGTTCATCCGTTACTCTTTTCCAAGAGTCCACCATCCACCATCCATAGCTCGTCGATTAGTAAATTAGCCACCACGGGGCAAATACTGGCCAAGCGCCCCTGCCTAGCAGTGGGGGTGGGAAGAACGTGTGGGGTATGCAGAGAAATGGACGAGGTGGAAAATTTAAAAGTGGCGGGAAACACCGCTTTCAAGAGAGGGAGGTTCGAAATGGCGGCGGATTTCTATCTGCGGGCCATCGAAATCGTCGAGGAAGGCAACGAGGCAGATCTGGCGCCGCTGCGGAGTAATCTTTCATTTGCGCTTTTGAAGCTGGATCAGCCACAAGAGGTCTGTCGACACCTACGCACCCATCTATCATCCCCCTTTTTGGCCAAACGAAGACGAGTTTATTTTCTTCCTTCCCTTTTCCTACCTACTCCTCAACCCTCTCCTTCCCATCCTTCTCTCTCTCTTATCATTCTCCTGTCCCCAGTTCTCCTCCTCCTCCCCCTCCCCCTCCTCTTGTTCTGCCGCTTCCCCGTTCGTTTACGCGTACAGTTGTCGGGGGGCTCGCAACTGAAAGGATGGGGGAAGGTAGGAGGAGCTCTTTTCGAGAAGTTAAAAATACGATTCTTTTCGCTCGGAGACCACTCGTGCTTGATTCTGGTCTTCCATTGCTTTTCTTCTTCCTCTTCTTCCTCTTCTTCCTCTCGTCTTCCTCGTCTTCCTCGTCTTCCTCGTCTTCCTCGTCTTCCTCCTCGTTCTCCTCCCTTACTCGATGATGGTCTGCCATTGTTCTCCTTCCTTCTCCTCCTGTTCCTCTACTTCCTTCCTCTTCTTCCTCTTCTTCCTCCTCTTCCTCTTCTTCCTCTCGTCTTCCTCGTCTTCCTCGTCTTCCTCCTCGTTCTCGTCCCTTACTCGATGATGATGGTCTGTCATTGTTCTCCTTCCTTCTCCTCCTGTTCCTCTACTTCCTCCTGCTCCTGTTCCTCTCTTCCTCTTCTTCCTGCTTTCCTCCTTTTCCTCCGTTCTTCCTCCTCCTCCACTCTTTCTCGCTCTTGCGCCTTCTACTCCTTTGTGACCTGTGCGTTTGTACGCATGTTTTTTTATTGATTTGTGACCTTGCAATTCAGTATTCTTCTCGTTCTTTTTTTCTTCGTCGTCTGATTTTTCTGGTTCGTATCGTCTGATTTTTCTGGTTCGGAGTCGACGAAGAAGGATGGCTGTGAGGCGTTAGGATAAGCTTGGACATCCGTTAAAATTGGAACGACACAGAGGAAAAAAAAAAAAAGAAAAAGAAAAAGAAATTGAAAAATCGAGAAATTGTAGAAGTGGAAATCCGCAAAACTGTAACTGAACACTCGAAAGCCCTTGAAAGCCAAAAATCGAACATCTATTAATGATCCCTGAGTTCGATTTTTCAATTTCTTTTTTTTTGGTTTGTTTTTTTTTTCTCTGTATCGAACTACAGGCCTGCCTGTGACTGAACATGCACACACGCCTACGTGCAGAAGCGTGAATCTCCTGGGTACCGTTTTCACCCGAATAGAACGCCCTGTCATTAGAGCTGTATTTTGGGCGATTTTCAGTCCAGATGCAGCCTTAATGACCGGGCGTTCTATACGGGTGAAGACGGTAGGAGTTCAAATCTCGCCCAAGCTCGTAAGGGTAGGAGCTACCCCAAGTAGAAAGCGGGGAGATTTTAAAAATTGGGAGTTGAAAAGGCTAAAGAAAGCTTCACATTCTGAGTCCGTGTCAGCACTCACTATAATCCCGCGCTCAAAAAAAAAAAAAAAAAAACCATCCCGCACTCGGATGCGCGATTCTGGACTGGCCGGGTACCCGTCAGGGCGAACGGTCGCAAGCCTGTGTGGATGTTGTATGGGGGGTGCGGCGCTGAGCGACTGGGGACCGTTGGGAGTCTCCCGGCTTGGGATGCCAGCGCTCTTCCCTGGGTGTCTCGTGGGAGTGCGATCAAAGCACTGATCGTCAGGGTGAAGACCTGCCTATACCTCAGCCTGCACAACCTTTCTATNAGCGCTCTTCCCTGGGTGTCTCGTGGGAGTGCGATCAAAGCACTGATCGTCAGGGTGAAGACCTGCCTATACCTCAGCCTGCACAACCTTTCTATAAAAAAATAATAAATATCCACGGGCTCCCTTCAAAAAAAAAAAAGAAGGAAAAATCATCGGCTATCTATTCACGTCGGAAGCGGAGGAGGGCGAATGGTGTCAACCTCGCAGTTTGCTTCACGTAAAGCTCGCACGTCGCTCTACGTGGAACTCAGAAAGTTGACCCCCGACGCATTTACGCGCATGCATGCAGGCTGGCGTGGCCATGCAGAAAGAGCGATCAGTTTGTGTCTGGCTCTCGGCACGGCTGTGATTGCAACCCCGAGCTTTCTATTCTTTTTAAAGCAGCTTGGATTCTGGAACCCTTTTTTTTGTTGAATTGAACCCCGAACTTTAACGATCATTGTTTTGGAGTTTGACGAACGTTTTTGCCTTAGCGGTGACTTTTTTATTTTTTATTTTTTATCTTTAATAGCGGTGACTTTCGGTTGAGCTGAGATGGTTTAAACCGGTTAAATAAGTAAATATTTTGATAAGACGCAGTCATGTGCCCGCGCGCACACACAAATGCACGTGTATTCAGCCCTGCGATACGTCAAGCTTGCCACGTGTCATTTGTACCGTTGAAACTAGGTGAGCGCCGTGGTGAAGGCTGTGAGTTCGAATGGACGGATTACGGACTCGTGCCCCCCCCGAAAGGGTCGTGCCCCCCCGAAAAGGTCGTGCCCCCCCGAAAAGGTCGTGGCCCCCCGAAAAGGTCTAAGAATGCCAGAATGCCCTTCTCAGCATGTACCTCAACAGATCATGCACCTGATCGCGATACCCTCCACATCTGTTTCGTCAGGTTCACGTGAGCTCCTATGACATAAAACCACGCATTCCCAACCTCCCGGCGCCGCCCCTTCGGGATTTGCTGGAATGTTATGCCACGTGTCCATCCGCAACATTCGTTTTGTTGTGAGGTTGGATCAGGTCGTACCGCTGCCACTTGTCTTTTTTTTTTTTTTTTTTTTTTTCTATTTGTGCTGTGGGCTGCACTTTATGCGTGAAGTATTGTCATGTCTTCTAGAGGTTGCAAGTACGCTTTTTGTTGGCCGGTGCATGGGCACTTCTGTCCACACAGGTGGAGGAGCCTTGCAATTGACAAAGGGAACCAGCACTTGTGGTTGGTCCGTCCTTCGTCGTTCGATTTTGTGAATAGTAAGAATATTGCAATACGAGAGCGAGCGAGCGAGCGAGCGAGCGAGCGAGAGAGAGAGAGAGAGAGAGAGAGAGAGAGAGAGAGAGAGAGAGAGAGAGAGAGAGAGAGAGAGAGAGATGGGCTTTCTGTGTGCTTGAGGTAGAATGGAAGCTGGGTTGTGTGTTTGCGAAGGGGGTAGCCGTCAACATTGATGTGTATCTGAAGAAGTTGAACTCTTTATCTGGTTACATGTGTGGAGTGTTTAGCTGCCAAGGAGGTACAATCTTTCCGTTTTTTCCTGTGCCGGATTTGATCTGGACACATATGACAATTGGGGGTGTTTGCTTGTGTACCTTTCTGTGCCATTTTTTTCTTCAGGCCTTGGTGGAGGCTGACAAATGCATCGACTTGAAGGAGAGCTGGAGCAAGGTGGGTTCTGCTGCAGCTGATGGCGGAATGCCCTTCCCAACCTGCAACTTGCTCCCTGTGTTTGTGTTGTCATCTTCGCTGTACACAAAACCCCCCAAAAAGCATGTATCGCTTGTAAATTTTGTGAAAATTCACCAGCTTCCAAACTGTCTCGTCAGGCTTTTATCAACTTATCAGGAGGTTGAACTTCCTGTGTGTGTTTGCGTGCATGCATGTGTGTGGGTGTGGGTGTGGGTGTGTGTGTGTGTGGGGGGGGGTGTCATGCTCCGCTACACCTCCTCTCCGTTAAAAAAAAAAGCATGACTGTGCGGGACCGCTTGGCCAGACTTTCACCGACTCAGCAGCACAGGTTGAACGTCGGCAGTCTGCCCAGGGTGCATTTGAGGGATTGATAAGGACTCACGTCGCCCAGAGTTTGCGTGTGTGTAAACGCCAAACATAATGCTCAAATCCTTCCAGATCCCATCTCTATGGTAAAGCTGAGGATTTGCCATGTTTGTGAGGTTAAGTGCCAAGGGCTCCCACACCCTATGTCGTTGAATATGAAAGAAGGGGCAGAAAAATAACAACACACTTGCCACCCTGCTGTTAACGGCTTGGAAAAAATTATAAGTCTGTATACCACGCCATTCTTAAAACCATTTCCAAAACAAATACCACTCAACTAAACATCTCAATATACCACGCCATTCTTAAAACCATTTCCAAAACAAATACCACTCAACTAAACATCTCAAAGCAAAAGCTGGAGTGTCCTACCGTGCTGAGCATCTCTCTGGCAGTCGCACCAAAATCACGAACTAAATGCTGTTGCTGCCACTTGGATTGTGACACTGGAAGGCTCTTCACGAAGCTCTCTCGCAAGATTCCCTTGTTATGCGAGTCGCTGTCAAACAGTCCACCCTCCCTCTTGCAATCTTAACATCAACGTAGTCGCACATAGTCGCACATACGAACTGAGGCCATGCTCACACGAGGTCTTTTCTGGATGTACAATGGTGCTCAACTGGAACCGCCCTGCCTGGTCCCTGCTGAATGGAAGTTTCGTGCAGTCCCAGGAGCTCCACGGGGTGAAAAGCACCCATACCTGTCCAAAAGCGGTTTTTTTTGGTTGGGGGGAGGGGGGGGGGGGGGAGCTCCATGGGATTCTCACCTGTGACAAAAGCCCTCTAATAAGACCATCCACCAACACTCCACGTTTCAGCCCTCATCCCCCTCCACCTCTCCACCCCCTCTCCCTCACGACACCAGGTGTGTTAACGCATACTTGTTTTTTCCACGTCCTCTGGAACGGCGGCCCATGGGAATTACACCCACAGCCAACACTCGCGGAGCGTCCTTGTGAAGGAGGTCCTGTGACCAAACAACATCCCACCAAGAATGAACATTGCCCGTGCTTCCATGCAGGCCTTTGTTTGTGTGCATGTGTGTGGTGTTGTGGTGGGGGTGGAGAGGGAGGGGTTACACCCACAGCCAACACTCCCGGAGCGTCCTCATGATTTTGTGGTCAAAGCTCCGGCATCTTGTTTTTGTCATTTTAGTCTTTTCTTTAGAAAAAAAAAACAGTGGGGCTACATTATGTGAAGACTGATTGCCGGCAAGTGCCCACACCGCCACGTAAACTGGGTAGACTGGATGATGGGCCCCCTTAAACCAGCAGTACTTGGCCCAGATATCGCCCGAGGGAAAAAATAAAGTAGAAAAGTTTCTAGTCGGATGAATTTGGGCGCTCCTGTAGTAGTCCGTACGTTTCCTAAAATCGTGGCGCGTTAACGGGCATGACTCTAGGAAGTACTGGTGGTTTAACTGCCGCGGGCAAGTGCCCAACATCTCCACACAAACTGGGTAGATGACGGGCCTCCTTACCTGCCAACAGCCTCAATTCAGTGCCAAACGCCTAGGTCAGGTACAGAAATCAGGCCTTTCCTACCCCTTTTCCTAGGGGGGCATGTTTTTCCCCTTGGCAAACGTAGGTTGTAGACCCGACTATGGACCTGGACCTGGCAGATTTCCTATGGCCCTCTATGGATCCTCTACGTCTTGGGCACATCTTGAGGACCCAAAAATGTTGCCTGGTGCAGGTGTACATCATGTGAGGCACTTGAGTGCATGTGGTGCCCCTCACATGTTCATGTTGTGAGCATGTGGTGCCCGTCGCATGCTCATGTTGCATGCACGTGGTGCAGTGCTCTACCTTGTTTCCCCCCTCCCCCTCCCCCTTCCCCCTTCCCTCCTTCCAACAGAACTCCCTATTATCGTGGCTGTATTAGCTATGTCAAGGATTCTACCAGTGCAGAATCCAGTCAAGAGAGTTCCTGTGTGTCCATAGCCTACCCTTTGGTTTTGTGGGGTACTTAGGACAGGATTTCTATACCGAGTCTGGCGCTAATTATCACCAGATAGTGTTATTGAGAGAAAGGAGAGGAAAGCAAGAAAAGTAGAAGGCCGATGGGAGGAGAAAAAATGGATAGGGTTCCTGAAACATACACGTGTGTGCAAGGATGAGACACGCAAACTAAAAAAAATGGTCCCAACTGTTTTGGAAAAAAAAAAGAAAAAGGAAAGCACAAGTGAGAATTTGAGTCTATCCGCGGTCCATGGGGCCACATGATATTAAATTAATTTATCATGGGTCACATGGGTGAGTTTGCTTACTGGACCTCCCCATTTAGAAAACAGGGTGGCGTTCCAATTATAATTATAGGGAGAAAACTGCAGAGACAATTTTGCGCTGAGACAGTAGCTGTTTATGACTGTATACTGTGTGTCTGTGTTTTGTTGACTTGACCAGTTAGTGATGCTGTATGACAGTACCATTAGTGCATTTAAACTACCAGTACCTCCACCATTTTAGGCCGTTAACGCGGTCGCTGAATCGGTACGCCGCGCGGGTCAATATGCATTTGCATCAGAGCCTCCCCAGAGGGGGGGCCTAAGACCCCCTGGGGTACTGGTGGCATAAGGATCGAGTTACTGGCAGATAGCGTGTCAGGGTAGACAGGAGATTGAATGACCTGGAACCGTTAAGTCGACAATAATAACCGAAGACGGAACTTTTTTAACAGGTGCCATCTTGCAGAAAAAAAACATACTTCAGAAAGTGTGACACTCGGTGGAGACCTTCCGAAAAGTGTGGCAAAGAGGGAGAAACACATTTCTGTCCTCGGCCTCATCATCGATCTGCTACAATGGCTTCATGGCATCTATTTAAAAAAAAGAACATGGAAGAATGTCTTTGTGGGATCTATTAAAAAAAGAAAAGAAAAAGGAATCGCTTCACGGGATCTATGATGGCCTTGTCAGAAAAAAACGAAAAAAAAACAAAGCAAACACATTTGTCAAGATGAAAGACTTGCAACTGACCCAGGTAGTTCTTTTTTTTTTTTTTTTTTTTTTTTTCTGACCCAGGTAGTTCAATCTTCTGTCTAATCTGATCGGACGTGGCCGTTTTCAGCCAGAAAAGAAGGGGAGAAAAATTCTCTAGATGACGCAGACTTTCAGAGATTAAGATCATGCAAAATCCCCGTCTGTCCAGTCCTAAGCTGCCACGAGAACACCCATTTGGGACAGCTGGGGTGAGATCCATTTGGAACATCTTGCAGGCGTGGCATGTGTTGGTGTGGCATCGTGTCAGACCTTTCCGTACAGTATGACTCTTCCAACTGGGGGAGTGATGTGGGCAGTATTCTATCCACAACAGGGTTTGAAATTGGAACCTTGAGGTAAAGGCACGCATGCACAGACGAACACGCACAGAAAATAGAAGAGAAGAGAACTGGTGTGGAGTACTGCGGAGTACTGCCTACCAACGTGATGAAGATTTGGTCCGATTGTGAGCTTGGTATGCAGTGCTGTTGTTACTTACTTAGTGTTGTGGTTGTCCACTATTAACTTTACTTGCTGTCTTACTATCTATTGTTGTTGTCATCATTATGATGTTCTATTTATTATGTTTATATTATTATATTGTGATTGTGATGTGCAGCACCGTCATTGATTGTTAAAGCTTTTATCGATATTTTTATTCATTAATTTATTATCTTATTGTTTTCTGTACACACATTTGGTGTTGGCTGTGGTCTCTCAGATTGCAGCCCTTCCCCGCAGTAGGGGGCTATATGACCCAATGCTTGTTTTTTCCCCTGGGCTTCTTTCCCTCATCTGAGACTGACAAGTGGTGTGGGATATACTAGATACTGGTAGTCAGATCAGACAACAGTCCCATTTTGTGGGCCCTTGTAGCGCATGCCAACAAAAAGAAACAAGAATGTAAAAAATCTGAAGGGGAGTAAATTTGTCGTGACATCTTGGCAGGTTTTGAACCTTTGACCTTGGGAGGCAGGCAGGATCTGTTGCTTGGTTTCAGGGTTGGCCAGTTGTGAGATCTCCACAGCGGGTTGACAGAAACTGTAGAAACGGATTCTCAGCCCTGGGATGGTGGTGGCTTGAGAAATGAAGTTATTAAAAAAAA